CCTAACCCTGTGATTTGTTTCGACTAACCCTGTGATTTGTTTTTTACCAAATCTGTGACAGCATCAAAGAAAGTTCGTTTTGCTGGTGGTGAGTCAGCGACTGGTTCACAAAAATCCTCTACAAATATGTTCTCGTTTAAATCATCTCCCTGCTCTTGGAGCCAAGACTTTACTCTAAATTTGAATAAAGAGCAAGAAAATAAATACTTTAGAATTCTCAGAAATTTTATTGTTTTCGCATTTGATCGATTAAGAATAATAGAAAACATTTTGCCAACATTAAATTATTTTGCCAAAATTATTAAAAGACATTTTGCCAACATTTTCCAAAAATCCCGCAAAATACAAAACATTTTGCGGGATCCCGCGGGATAAAATTTTTTTTAAATCTTTGCGGGACGGGATCCCGCGGGATAATCCCGCAAAAATCCCGCATCCCGCAAAATCCCGCAAATCGCAAAAAAGTGCGGGATTGCGGGACGGGATCCCGCAAAATCCCGCGCGGGATCCCGTCCCGCGCCGGTCTCTAATTTAGATCACTGGTTTCTAATCTGAATTTTGAAAATAATATTTTAAACAGGCATATTTTCTATATTATTTATATAGATCACTAGTTTCTAATCGGAATTTTGAAAATAATATTATTTTAAACAGGCATAGTTTTCTTTATTTATTTATTTAATCACTAGTTTCTAATCGGGTTATTGAGAATAATATTATTTTAAACAGACATAGTTTTCTATATTTATTTATTTAATCACTAGTTTCTAATCGGGTTATTGAGAATAATATTATTTTAAACAGGCATAGTTTTCTATATTTATTTATTTAATCACTAGTTTCTAATCGGGTTATTGAGAATAATATTATTTTAAACAGGCATAGTTTTCTATATTTATTTATTTAATCACTAGTTTCTTTATTATTAAAGTTTTTTATTGAATCATTAGAAATTATTATATGAAATTTTTAGACATAAACTTTCAGTAAATGTTATATTAAGATTTATACAAATAATTTTTGATTCATTATAAAAAACTTTAATATTATAGGAAATAATAACGTAATACATTAATCAATAAATCTTACAAGGTTGTCCAAATGATAATATCTGTTGTGGAAGTCAATTATTTTTTCAATATGACATCCACTTCTTATTTCATTCAGAAGGCCACCTGTATTATAAGAGTAGACAGAACTATTTCCATACAACATTTTCTTAGTTCTGTTGTTAACAATTCTTTTAAGATTTCTTTCCACTCCTGAAATCTCACTGTATAAAACGCCAATATCAAGTCCATCGCCGTCAATTGAATGGACTTCTGTTTTGTAATTGTTTTTCTAAATAAATTCATTAATTATTTACTCCATTAGTTATTTTTATTAGTGGTTTAATTTGTTAATTATTGAGTTAATTATTTATAGGCATATCATAATATTGAATAATAACCTCTAACATTGGCGACATTAGATGCTCAAAGAATAATTTAAATGCATTAATAAAACCCGTGAAATTAGCACAATCGAAATAATAACTGGTGCTATCTTGTGTTGTTGACGAATTTGTGTCGACAACATAATCTTTAATAATAAAAAGATTGTTTGGATAATTTTCATATAAAGGTGCTGATTTTAAAAATTGCAATATTTTACTAAAACCTTAACATATTTTAATATAAACTTACAGAGGTTGCTGGCAATGTCGAGAATCCCCTTTCCTTTATGTAGTTGACAACCATAAAATATGCAGTGCTCCAACATATGTGGAATACCAGAATCATCTGATGCCTCGGTAACTAATAAATTAGGGTTTAAAAAATATTTCAAATAGGAATAAAGACAAATTTTAGTGAAAGTTTTGACGATAAAAACACAAAAGCTGGCCAAAATTAAAGTTCGCCCTGATAATAGGTCCACGGCAATTTGTAACTGCAACAGTAAGTTTTGACCTATTCGATTTGAAGATTTTGATTTCATTGTTGCCTAGAATAGCTGACGTAATTTGGTCAAACATTTTGAATAAAAAATTATGATTTAAATAGTAAAAAAACCGATGATTTAAATAGTAGTCTTTAATATTATAGTTTAAATTATAGTTATTTTAAACAAGCTTATTTTACTATATTTAATTATTTATAACACTAGTTTCTAATAGGAATTTAGAAAATAATATTATTTTAAACAGGCTTAGTTTTCTATATTTATTTATTTATAAAACTAGTTTCTATTCGGAATTTTGAAGATAATATTATTTTAAAAAGGCACATAAACTGGATTAGAGCTATCTTTCAACCTTACGCTATAAGATCGAAATCAGGGGTGAGTGGATTGCGTTATTTGCGTTAAATTTTGGCCATTTTTTGCGTTTAGCGTTTTGCGTTATTTTCGATGAAATTAACGCAAAAAATTACCCAATCTGAGGACGAAATTGGAGAAAACTGGCTTCTTGGCCTTCCAAAATTCTAAAAATTTTCGCTTGCGGCGCTGAAAATGGAAGAGGGATTAAGTGTCTAAGTGGAAAATATCGGCGGAACTGAGGGGATAGAAGACTATCGATCGATTTACTGTGATTAATTTTGAATTAAAAAGATATCAGGGTTTGTAGGGATATCCTGCTTTATCTCTTCAACCCCTGATACCTACTATATGCTCAAATCCCTGTTATCCATCTAACCTGAGGGTAAAAATTGGAAGAAATCTAGCTTCGCTTTCCATAATTCATAAAATTTTTGCCTCCGGCGCTATAAGTAAGGTATTTAAATACAAGTTTTTCATCAGGAACGGCTCAGAAAATATCGGTTCAGTATCTGGAGCTTAGATCTCAAGTTATTCTCCAAAGACCCGATATCCCTGGAATCAATTTACAAATACTGATAGACCTTTATCCTCCGTTATCTCCTTAACTCACCCGACACCCTTCAGTAATCCCATGATATCTTTTTAAATTTCCTTAATCGGTCCAAATTACATGATAATCTCCGTAATCCCTCGCCACTTCGCTAAACCCCTTGATCCTTCTAAATTCTCTGATATCCTTCATAATCCCTCTAAATCCTTTATTTCTCTCCAAAACTTTACCCATCCAACTTACATGTAACACTAAATCAATTAGGACTCGCTGACTTATAGTAATACACCAATTTAACTGAAAAATGTTTGATACTTAATTTAAAAATTTTTTCCCATTTTTGCGTTGTTGCGTTTTGCGTTATTTTGGCCTTGCGTTGCGTTTTGCGTCTTGCGTTTTTTGAGAGTGTCTCTTGCGCTCACCCCTGATCGAAATATACATTAATTTTTATATATTTAATTACAAATTAATTAATTAAAATTTTTATACATCCAGCCAAAGATTACGAGTCCTTACCAGTGCTTAAAAGCTCGTACCGAAATTCGATTCGTACCTGGCACGAAGTACGAGTACGAGCAAAATCGAAATTTCGAAGCACTTGTCCTTACATTATATCTGTAAGCTAGTAACATTATACACTGTCTAAAATTATACGCACCCACTAGTTTTGCATAAAAACATAAATAAAGGAAAATCTGTTAAATTTAAATAGTTTTATGATTATCTAACTCATATTCAAACGAAAAAAGCAATCAGTAATAATAAGAATATGGATAGCAGGAAAAAACATTGAAATTTCACAAAAATATAAATCATTTGACATATTTACTTTCTTGTCACCCTGTACTATATATGACAAATACACTAGATTGATAATGAGCACTATATTGATATATATACACTATACACTTAAATTTGACAAATATACCGTATAACCTGTATTAATTGCCCTCCCTCAAATAATTACCCCGCTATTAATTACTCCCTCTAGCGATAGATCGAAACAATAATTATCCTCCCTCGAATAATTACCCCCTATTTTTCCTACATTAATTTAAAAAATTCCTCGATTTAGGCCTTAATCCTTCTATCTCCATCCAAATCCGCTGATATTCCCTACATCCCTTAGAACTAATTGCCTTTATAGGCAATTAGTAGTACTAAATTCAAAATTTTTCGATTTTCTCATGTTATGGGGTCCGATTGGATTGAAATTTTTCTAAAAACTTTTAGCGCCGCAGACGAAAATTTTGGGATTTTGAAGTTAGATTTCTTTGATTTTCATATTTTATTCAATAATGCCAGAAAATTGGAAAAATTTTACATATTGATAAAAATAGGGCAAAATATGGCAAATGTATAAAATAGGGAAAAAATAGGGCGAAAAGATCATAAATAGGGAAAATCCTCTATAAATAGGGTAAAAAGGCCACCCTGATTAATAGGCAAAAGCATGTTTTTTGAACTTATTACATTATGGCAAACATGTATAATAAAACTCTAAGTACCTCACTTAATAAAAAAAACGTATTTCCCAAAATATAAACAAAAAAGCAAGCCAAACTATTAATAAATCCGATAAGGTGAGAGAGAAAGGGTGAAAAAATTGTCTTCCTTTTTTGCACCGCAGGCGCTTTTTGACCTACAAAATAGTTTGGCTTGCTTTTTTGAATAATTTTTATATTTTTAAATTACTTTCAATAAACTTTTATAACTTAATAGGACAATAATTTTTTTGCACATTTATAAAGTTATTTTAATTTTATTAAATATTAGGAACTTCTAAAAATGGATCAAGAAGCATTATCACCAAAAAAATTTTATTCGGCAAAGCTCTTAGAGCGAGCCGAATGAAACCAAAATCAGCTTGATTCAATTATTTTAAACAAAACTATGACCAATTGCTAAAGTACAGCTAAAGATTTGTGTGCATTTGTGGGCACCAATTTTTAAAGGATTTTATTAAAATTAAAAATAAATGGAGTGAAATTGAATATATTTGGAAATGTTGTACCAATAAATGTATAACTACAATCAAACCTATTGGTAAATGTATTGAGGTAAATGGATTTGGAAATATAATTTATGATGAAAATATTAAATATATTAATTGTTTGGAGGGGGAAGATTGTATGTTTTGAATTTTAACTAGGCTACTATTACATTATTCCCTCGCAAAGTCAACAAACGTTTGTCGGCAATATTTATCTTTTCTTAGTTGCATATGTTCAGACTTCCTTTTCGTCAATTTCACTCTATTTTCTGTGTACTTTGTTCATATCCCGCCCTCCAACTAGTCTTAGCCCTCAAATATGATAAATAAAAGGCGAGCTATTAAAAATGAAAAAATAGACGGTAACAGCAAAAATCGGCCTATCGGCAAAAATTAACATAAAAAAAAGAAGGAACCATTCCGAGGCAGAAAAGAATAAAAGGAAAATTAATCTGAGAAACACATACATAGTAGGGGTGGGGTGGATATGAATAAATTACCATTTTCTGTGGCATATTCAATACAGAAAAGGAAAAGAGTTAGTAATTTTTCAACATGAAATTGTTCAGGTCAAAAGCCTCCGAAGTTACGTCAAAACTCTGCCATCAGTAACTTAACGCCTGATTAATCCTTTGTCCGATTTTTAAAATATATGGGATGAGAATGAAGTAAGAAGTTAAAAAAAATATTGCGGACAAATTTATTGAGGATAATGTGATCGCGCTTTTTTTACATATAAATAATTTCAGATTGTGACGAAGATATTTCTATTCTTGCGGAACATTCATATAACAAACCTATAAATAGCCTCAATTATTCTTTATATTATTTTGAAAATAATTGCAAAATTGAAAGGAAGTTAGATAAGGATGTATTTGAAATGAGTATTTGTCTTAAAAATTTAAATAATAAGAATAAATATATTGAATATTCGGCAAATGAAGGTATATTAGGTAACGAGAAATTAGAATTATTTGAACTTCCAGCATATTTCAATGATAACGATATTTTTGGTTGTGGATTAGTTTATCCTCCAACTAATAAATTAAATGAAGGAGAGTTTCCTTATGTTTTTATTACTCAAAATGGAAAACAACTTGGTAAATTTTAATTTAAAAAATTATTAGAATAATACTTTTGTATAGGTAAAGGGTTATTGTTAAAAGATAATTTCGACTCCTACAAGCCAGGTGTTTTGCTAAAATGTTGCTCAACTGAAACAAATTTCGGAAATGATTTGGAGTCAAAACCATTTAAATATGACATTTCAAAACATTTAGTTCTTAAAGAATTTTACAATTGAATGGTTAATAGTGATGTTCGAGAGTCAAAAAATCCCGAGAGTCGAGAGTCGAGACCGAGACCGAGAATCAACCCCGAGACCGAGACCAAAACGAGAGTCGAGAGTCGAGACCGAGAGTCGAGACCGAGAGATTAAGAGGGATATCACTTGATGTCCCTCCTAATCCCCAAAAATCCCTTGATATACCTCAAAATCCCCATACTCGCTTGAATCCACTTGTCCACAATATATATTCAATGATATTCACATTAATCTCTTAAAATCCCCTCATATCCTTCCATATCCCTACAAATCCAACAATATCTTTTTGATCCATCGATGCACCCATCCCTTGATATTAAATTTTATCCTTCAGAATCCACAGTATCTAATATACCACAAACCACAAAATCTAATCCTTTAATCTTATTAAATTCAAATTTTTGCTGCATTTTTGGCGCCGCAGGCGAAAATTTTTTGAATTTTGGAGCTCAAGAAGCCAAATTTCCTCCATTTTCAGCGCCGCAGGCGAAAATTTTTTGAATTTTGGAGCTCAAGAAGCCAGATTTCTTCCATTTTTCAGCGCCGCAGGCAAAATTTTGGGAATTTTGGAGACTTTTCCTTAAAAATTTTAATATCAAAGTACGAAAGGTCCGAGTAAAGTTCAAAAAATTTCCGTCATTAGGGGTGTAAATTTAGTCTCGTTTTCCGAGACCAAAACACCGAGACCGAGACCGAGACCGAGAGCTCAAAAAACCCGAGAAATTTCTCGACTCGAGAGTCGAGACCGAGAGTCTCGAACATCACTAATGGTTAATATTATTTTGTTTTTGATTCGCCTGTTTCAATTTAAATTATCAATTTTAAAATATTTTTTTGATTAAATGAAAAACTTTATATTTGGGCATTACTGATCTATTTAAATGTACACACGATAAAAATATTTCTGTTTTGTCACTTCGTGTGGTATCTGTTCCGGTGTACGGAATTTTCGTCTCTGGAAATTTTGTCTCCAAGACTTTTCGGAACTTTCGTCTCCAACATTTTTGGAATTTTCATCTCAACCTGAATATTCGTCTCCAGAGGAAAATTACCTTTGATGGACCAGATGAAAAATGATGTGTTCCGACAACGGGGGAAGTTGTTCCGTCAACGGGGGAAGTTGTTCCGTCAACGGGGGATGTTGTTCCATCAACGGGGGAAGTTGTTCCTTCAACGGGGGAAGTTGTTCCGTCAAAGGTAATTTTCCTCTGGAGACGAAAATTCCGGCACCCTCTGTTCCGTGTTTTAGCCTGATACGAAATAAACAAAAATAAAGTATAGAATAATTTGTTTGTAATTGTTGTCTAAATTCAAAAGCCATTTTTAAGTATAAAAATGATGAGATAATAAAAAACAAGCTCAGAGCCATTTTTAATAATGTAAAAGATTTTATAATTTAACTTGAAAGAAATTAAATCAACAAAGCAATCATGTATTTTTCAATAAAATACAATTTTGAAGTCCAAGATTAATCCATGATTTATTTAATTTGCTTTCAAATTTTTAGTTAAAATAATGTTGTGGTGTATTTTGTGCAAAAATATTAGCATTTTTATCACAACCTAAAAATATTTTAAAAAACATAAAATCCAAAAAATTCAATAATTATCAACCTTTCCCCTCCAAACAATTAATATATTTAATATTCTCATCATTAACTATATTAGCAAATCCATTTCCTTCAATACAATTACCGATAGGTTTGTATTTATTTATACAATTAATATCACAACATTTCCAAAAATTAAAAATTTCACTCCATTTATTTTTTATTTTAATAAAACACACCCACAACGGATAGATGTGGGTGTGTGCTTTATCTCTGGGCAATTAGAGATCTTATCCATTCCGAACCAAACCCATCGATATCTCCTTAATTCCTACTAAACCTTCGGTATTTACTTTTGATATTCCATTTCGATTTTGTAGATTTTCAGGGTTAGACTCTAACATTTACCAATTTGTTTTCCAATTTATGTAAAGAAATCAGTAATGCCCAAATAAAAATATTTTTATTTAATCGAAAATAAATATTTTAAATTGATAATTTAAATTGAAACAAGCAAATCAAAAACAAAACAAATTTAACCATTCAATTGTAAAATTCTTTAAGAACTAAATGTTTTGAAATGTCGTATTTAAATGGTTTCGACTCCAAATCATTTCCGGAATTTGCTACAGTTGAGCAACATCTTAATAAGACACCTGTTTTGTATGAGCCGAAATTGTATAAGTTCAATTTTTAATAATTTTGAATTGGTAAAATTATACAACAATAAATTATTGCTTTAAAATATTGACTAATAAATTAGGGTTGCGCGAGGTCGAGGTTTTTAGAAAAAACCGAGACCGAGGATCACCGATACTGAAAAAGCGAGGTTCGAGGTCGAGGGTCAAGTTTTTTAAAATAAATTCTTTTTTTAAAATAAATTTTTAAAATAAATTCTTTTATTTTGTGACGGACCCGGCCCCGAAGACTCGATACACATAATTTTTCGCATTTCCAAATCCACCCCCGGACTCAAATAGACATTTATTCTTTTCCCAAGCTCTCATTTTATTATTTCTCTCCTCCCCTACACATATCAATTTGTATTTTATTGTTGTTAAAACACCAAACCTTTTATTCACAAACAACCAACAACTAGTTGTTGGGAGTGTAGTTGGAAAGATGGAACTGATGAGAAAGAATTACAATTATTATTTTTTAAATATATTTTTCCTTTTGTTAATTATTTTTTAATTATTCAAACTATGTTTATCAATTACAATTATTTTATTTTAATTACATTTATTTGGAATAATTTGAATTTATTTGGATGATTTATATTTAATTTAAATTTAATAAACATTTTCTCTTAATCAGTGTCTATTTTGCATATATTAGGAAAAATAGGAGAATAAGTTGTCCTCTGCGCCTCCCCTTTGTTGATCCCCAAATCCTCCCCTTTCAACCGGCGCTCCGAAGATGCACCGGACCATTAGGTCCAGGTTGCTAACTATTTTAAAGAATTTACAATAGTTTTATATATAGAAGAGAAAGTTTATATAAAAAAGTTAAACAAAGATAAATTTAATTAATGAGGGAAAGGTTTTTATTATAATGGGTAAAGATGAAGGAAGGTAAAGAATATTATTTGAAATGTTTGGTTTGGGAAAATAGATTGTTTTTACTCGAATAATCTTTTGTTTATTTAACGATTTCTTTAATTTTATTATTCATAGGTTTAACTTTAGTATTTTAATTAAATCTGAGCGCTGATATTCTTCGGAATGATATTCATCGGAATTATCCTTGAACTGCTTCTAATAATTACAGGCGGTTTTATATTTGTTGGAGCTTTCTGACCAAATATATATGTGTAATAAATACTACAAAATGAAGCATCCTAAAATATAATATTTTTAGTAAAATTGGTTTTACTTAATATTAAGTTTTTAATTTATTATAAACTAAGAGAACTCTCTAAAAATAAGATAATATAAATAAATATTTTATTTAATGTAATAGAAAAGGGAAAAATATTAAATATAAATAATTAAATAACTTACTACAGTACATAAAGTAATTGCCATTTCATTAGCTATAGAAACAGAAGGTGTGATTGGAACCTGAAATTTCTTTAAAAATAAAATAATTTTTGAATAAATTATATTAATGGATACAAAAACTTAAAAGATTTAAAAATATTGAAAAAGCTCCAGGCATAACTTCAAAAAGAATTTCCATGTAAATTGCAAATTTGACCATACGATTTTTCTAAAAATAATTAACAACTTTATTAAAAAATACTTTTCAACCAAAATTATAGCTGCGCTTTGTGATTGACTTTCAAAATGTCTTAAAGACCAAAAGAAAAAAATGCAACAAATAAGATTTGAAAATCCAAACATATTTTTAATAAAAAGTTGAAATCTATTTTGATAAACAGTCATTAAGCAATCTACATAACGACAAGTCTGTGTAGCTGCTTTAAAAATTAAATTACTTATATATAGACTTTATCCAATTTATTCAAATGATAGTTTATTCGAAAGTGTTTTCGAGTTTAGTCTAATGTGACTAAAATAATTTAAAAAATTCAAAACTTTATTATATATAATGGAATCTGGGTGATTAGATTGTTGTCTAGTTATCACTTTGTTATCTTATTAAAATAAAATTAGT